CATCATCATCATCATCATCATCATCATCATCATCATCATCATCATCATCATCATCATCATCTCATTTTCAACCTATATGTGTCCCGGATCATCTTTCAATTTATTTATCACTTTTTTTCTCTGTTTCTTTGCTCAGTTTTGTTTCTAACTGATTCATCTATTTTAGGGCTTACTTTATGACATTTTCATGCATCTCCAGACTTCAGATGATGCAATACTACAGATAACTATAGTATCAGATAAGAGATGGCTCCAAGTGCTGCAAAAAGGGGGAATAAAGCCTTTGGTTGCCTTCTGCTAGCATCCATGCTTATGCAAAGTCCTTAATTATATATTCAGAATTATATATATGGGGGAAAAATAGCTAAGCCTCATTAGATCACTATCTCACAGGAAACCTCATCCTGCAGTGCCAAAATCTTGCATAATTTAAACGGCGATTCAATGCTACTTGGAATTTGTTAAGTCCCATAATGGCAATATCATGAGATATTGGAGCAATATTTAACAGTGGGTAAACCGATGGGTATGATGTTGAGGCCCTATTGCAAGATTGCAAAGTGGCACCCAATCGCCAGTCAGGTTTGCTGATCTCTTCCTCTCATAAGGGATTCTCTTCCATATCACTCATCTCCTCATGTCTTCAGAGGTCCAGAAATGGATTTCCATTCATTTACTAAAGGACAGATTTCCTCAGCAGATTTTGGAATTAAGGGCCCAAGAAATTAAGTTCTCATTGATTTCATCAGGGAAAGATCTAAATTTGACCAACACAAAATAATTGAGCTCTTATTTTGTGAGAAAGTCTATAAAGAGGATAAGAGGGAGGTGAGGAATATTTCAGAGTGTGGTCTAGGTAGATTATGTTCCATTAGGCTAGGCATTATTATCTCTCTGTAGAAGGATCCTGATAAAACTGTTGAACACCTGAGAGTCAAAATGTAAATATTCTGACTAACATTAAAACTGCCACACTTAAGTCTAGCTGCAACTCCTAATACCAAACTGGTGCAAGTCACACTTTCAGCACCAGTTCCCTATCGGTAAAATGGGAAACAGAGTGGAGGTATTATTTAAAATGAGAGAACAACACTTCCAAAGACAAAAAGGAACGTCTCTCCACTTACCAACATCCGTTCCATAGTGCCGTATAGCTTTCTCGTTTTGTGCGGAAGTTTCTGAGATATGAAGAAAAGTCAAAGGGAGAATTGTCAGAAATGGCCAATAGTGCAAGAAACTTGGGGAATTTATTCAACTTATATTTGTTCAAATAGGACTCTGCACCCATGAAAAGAGAGTGGACACTTCAAACCCATAGGTAGAATTTTCATATGTATGTAGAATATTATGTTAAAGCTTTGTCAACTTTTAGGTAATCCATCAAGACAAGCTACTAAAAGATTGGACCCTGGGCAAAGCGGTCAGCCTAAATTGACCAAGAAAGGCTGTCAGGTTTCCAAGTGATAAAATCTATTCAAAAAAGAAATGTGCAAAGTCCANAGGCACACAAATCCTTGGATCAGGTCATTCCTGCACACCTTCCTGTTGCTGCGACAGAAGATGCTTGCAACTTTGCAATTTTTTATGGGCAAAGCTGCTATTATCATGAAAGGCAGCTTGTATGCACTCTTAAGCAGCACTCCAGTATCTCCTGAAACCTTCTAGTGCATCCCATTTCTAGCAAACTGCCTACTGACATTACATACAAGAGATACGATGCCTCATTGAAGCGAAGGCTCTATAGTCTAGTTGCAGAAATATCCAGTTCTGAGTCCATCCTATGCCATAGAAGCTGCTAGGCCAGCCACTATCTCCACACCAGTCCAGCTTACTTCACCAGCGAGGAAAAATTTGGAGTGGGGAATGCTGTGTGCTCTGCTTGAGCTCCAGGAGGAAAAGCAAGATATACATTTAATGAATAAATAAATACATCAGTACGTTCTGCTGCTTAGTCCAATCGATTCAACTGGAGGGAAGGAAGTAGCTCCCTTCAAATGTTTTAAAGAATCTTATTTAAATCTGGCAGAAGAGAGGGAAGTTCAGAAAGCAACAATTCATCAGACACACCAAAGCAAACCTTCCCATTTTTCTTTTTCTTTCCTTCTTTTGTTTAAAAAACAAACATTTTTGAACGCTGGTAAACTGCTTTTGCTCCTTTCCCAGTAAGGCAGCTCAAATCCATCCATCCATATGAATCCATCTTTTTTTCACACCATAAATTTTGCAGCTTGTAAAACCTGAGGCAGGTGACACGTCGTTCCTTAAGATTTCCAGAGATGCCACCTATTTTTCAATTATCAGGACAGATCAAATGTGCCACCAAGAATATGAGGAGCTTTCTCATCTGTTTGAGATCTTCCTCTGGCCAAATGCAAGGGGCGTTGGCCTAACCCATACAAGGAGGTGCCTTCCCAAACAGTCCTTGGCCTGCTTTCTGTCCTTGCTTGGGCAAATCTTCTAGCATCAAGATTCAAGGAGTCGTGAGAGCCGCAAAAGTTCCTTCTGTCTGTCAATCACTCTCAAGGGCTGGATATGGGCCCAAGTTGCAGCTGGACTTCGAGTGCTGAGGGATTGTTCTGAGCCTGAAAGGCAACAAAGCAGGATTGAGGAAATCTATCATCCACAGTTGTTTGAAAGAGGCAGAAAGAAGAGACCGCCACTAAATAACATTTGGCAAAGTTTCCTAGCTATCATGAGCAAGAAAGTAATTAAATGGACAGGTTTTTTTCTCTCTCTTTTGGCTTCTAAGACAGGTGTGGCCAGTGAGGTAACAAAGTCTCCTGAAGAACTGAGAGCAATTATGTTGGCCTTCAAGTGGGGGGGGGGGCGTGTAGGTGTAGGGCAGTGGTTCCCAAACTTGGCAACTTTAAGACTTGTGGACTTCAACTCC